GGTAACAAAGTAAAGTTAAAATAAAATAAATTAAATTGCATAAAGACTACTACAAATAGCAGTGTTTTTATTCATCAGCTATGGGAAGCTATCCTCATCTGGTTTGAATAATGATCCACCTCCCATCAGCTTTTCTTTACGGTCGTCTCCTCCTGCTGGAGTCAACCTCCAGATGTTGGACGCAACCTTTCAACATTCCAACTACTAGCCTACTAACTGCCCTTACAAATATACACACATACATTGAAGGTCGCACACACACAAGGAAGTTCAAAGCTGTGCCAGAGGGGAGCAGGTGGCCAGAAACAACACGCTGTAGGTCTATCAGGGGCTATAGCCTGAATGTTCAAACTCCATTCATCCAGAGATACTGGCCAGGAAAACAGAAGCTCCATAGCCATGCTGTATTATATGTGCACGTCTTGTATATGGCTTTGAACTTTTATTTTATTGTTGCATATGGCCATACATAGTTATACTGAGATGTTCTTATTTTTTCTTTTGTATTGTCTTTGTTTATATATGTTGGCCAGAAGTTCATGTCTCATTCTTTTTAATCCAAATTGGAATTAACTGTTCTTAATGTAGGTATCTGTATGTCATTTTCACTCGTTAATTAATGTCCCAAAATTGATGGATGCATGTTTTTTTATAACCATAACAGTTTTGTCCAGTTTCTTGGAATTATGATATTATGTCAGTATACTAATATTATATTAATAGTATTAATATAAGTTGTAACAGTGTACCTTCATTTGCTGCCCAAGAGATGCCAAGAGTTTACCTTTCAATTCATCTAGAATTAAAGGACCAGTGTGTAAGATTGAGTGGTGTCTAATGGTGAAGTTGCAGATTGCAACTAACTATCTCACAACCTGGGAAAAAGAAAGGGCTGTGAAGTGTGTAGGAGAAACTAAAAACGACTCATATGGTAATGAAAACAAAAAGATTCTTGTATTCAGGTGCATATAAACTATGAATATTATATTCCATCTCTGCCAAAAGAGCCTTCTAAATGTTAGACACTGGACCTTTAACTTACTTAACCTTTTGCATTTAGCCCCCTGAAACACATGTGCATACTGAATGTACAATCATTTAAGTTGTTCTACTTGAGAGGAGAAACACAAATAAGCAACCTTTTGTTCTGCCACACTCTAAAGAAGCAAAAACCAGTCTAGTCTAGATTCTTTGCCTGTGAACTCATTCACTAATTCAAGACAAGAGGGCCTTCCCAGCAGTATGAGTGGACAGAAGGTTGTCAGCTAAAATAGAATGTGCATGCTGTGAGCCCCGTTCTCAAATGAACACATATGTTAGCATAACTATTTCTAAAGACAGAACACTCCCCTGCCCTTCTGGTCTTAATCACAGTCTCGTACAAATGTGCACATACAAAGACTCACACAGAGACAGACATGCACAACGTCCCCACTTTTCCCAGCCATCATTTTGACACTGAGTAGACCTTGACCACAGCCTGCACTTAAGAATAAAACATGCAGTCCCAAAATGAAAGATGAGATGATGTCTCCAGTCGGCCATTGCTACCGGCATTGTTTTCTGGCCTCAAAATCCTTCTAAATACGTTCAAAAGAGCTTCCGAATCTGGTTTAACATGAATATTTAACACTTAGCTAATGTGTCTCATAAAATGTTTGTGATAATTTGAACCACAAAGTTGAGATGAGGCTGATGGGAATGTCATGTTTGGAAGGTATTTAGCCACAAAAAATTAATTATTGGACAAACTTTGACTTGACAATGGTGCTAGCCTATATGTAAAGTCAGAGGGTCGCAAAAGTCCATCTAATAGTTTTTTAGGTATTTCAGTCTAGACGAAGAGATGGACTGATTGTCAGACTTGTGTTGCCATCCCTAGAGCCTCACTGCTGGTAAAGCTACAAAGAAAAGAAATGTATGTAAACCGAGGGAGACATAGACACACATCACAATCCTTCAAATGGTTGTTGGATTTGTTTTCATTATTTTGTTAAATTTATCCTTGTACCCTTACTCCACACACACAGAATCTCCCGACTGTTCCTCTCTCAGCGGGACTGAACACATGAAAAGGACGACGAAACACCACCTTCTGTCCTCCATCAGTCCTCTAAATCCTGTCAGAGGCTGAGATGAAGTGCTCTTTCTCCGCAATTTTACTTCAAAATCTGGATTCAATAACTCCACTGATCTTAAAAAACACCCAGAGCACCCCTTACGCTGACACACGCATGCACACAAACTTACACATATAGGCTACATGCATAGAGACTCAAACAGACACACGGCCAAAATAACCACAAGGTCACCTTTACAGGCAACGATCATCCATCATACAGACAGACCCATGCAGACATGGAAATATGCACATACTAAGAAACAAACAAATCTGACGTATACTTTTGAAGCATGTTATAGTATTCGGAGTGTATATATAAGACCCAAATTTCAAGATTCAGAGGCAGTACTGATAAAAGTGAATAAAAGAAGAATCTGTATTTCTGTCTGTGTGGTGATATTTGTTTTTCCTGTCTCTTCTGGACAGGAAGGTGTGGTAGCCTCATAACTGTTATCATGGATTTACGCCTGTGCTTTGACAGTTGTGACAGTTATATAAGGATACATTGTAATAAAGGTAAGCTGATTATGTTTTGTCTCATACCTACCCTTACCTTACCCTTATATTGCCATAAAGGCTTATATATATATTGAATAGCGTGCATTAACTTTACAAAGTACCAGTAATAAGTACTACGTCAGTTATGCCTATGTGTGGGACTGATTGGAAACAGTTGGAGGAAACTGGAGGTAGCTCTATATTGCCTCTCAAGTATTTTTTACACACACACACACACACACACACACACACACACACACACACACACACACACACACACACACACACACACACACACACACACACACACACACACACACACACACACACAAGCACAGTTAATCCCATACAGTTTCAATAAAAGCACACGGTTCACACTAATGCTTTGATCTCTCTTCTCTCTCCATCCCATGCTGTTTAGAGACATAGATCCTGCAGTTACATAATGACCCTCCTCTACACTTGGCGCTACCCCTGTGTTGATGTATGTAGCCTATATGTGTGTTTGGAGCAGTGTTTTCCCAGACTTACAAGAGAAGCCCTCTCTGCCCTGGGCTCCAATCATTCCAAACCAGTTCATGTCCTCCAAACATCAGGCAGGAATCCAGCGGCTTCACCGTCTGGATAAACAGGTTTGGAGCACTGTGGAATGGTTCATAAAACCTCTGCCAATCCCCTCCACAATCCTTGTTTCAATGTCCACACTAAGCCTTGAAAGAGCTCAGACGTTCCCAGTGTAACAGGCTTGGAGGAGAGAAGCACTGGAGGTTTCTCTGTGATGGCCATGGAGATGCATTAATGGGGTTGTATGGACTGCAAGGTGATTCCATGTGCCTTGTTCACTCGGAGGGTGTGGGAGAGCAAGAGAGACCTGCATGGTGCTATAGTTTCCTCCAAAACTTATTTCCAATACAGGCAGCGGCCTTGTTTGATAAGGGGCACTGTGATCGACGCAGTCCTTTCTAAACGGACGACCTGTGTCCATCCCTTCATCATTGTTAAACACCACAAAAATGGCATTTGATTTCCAGGTGCTAAAGTGAAATAATTGAAACATTTTCTATCTATTGTGCACAGCTGCTAAGTATTTATATTTACCTTTGCAATAGTTGCTGACCATTGAATATGAACCAATTTAACTGTCTTAATGAAAGTATATAAAAGCCGATATCATAAACATCTGAAAATTTCTATATCCAAGATTTGAATACATGATTAAATTACTAGACTGACAGATACATGGTCCAAGAAAAAACTTCAGAGAAATCTCAGCAATCAAAAGTGATGCTTCACTGCCACCTACTGGGCCTTTAACATCAATGCATCTTGTTATATTTGAAATACTTCATTCTTTCAGTATTTGGTATCAATCTAGAACGCCCATGGCATTACCATGGCTTTAGTGCTATGTCTGTGTACTCCCCAGATTGAGAAATTAAGACGCAAACATAGATTTAGTTACTTCTAGCTTTATTAACAGAGCACTGCAACATAAAATTAAGCCTTACTTTTTATATGTAGGTTTTGGCAAGACCTCTTCTTGGTAGAAAGTCGTGTCAATAAAAACTATTCACAGTGACATCAGAATCAACCCACTAATAGAACTTATTCCTTTTTATTGTGAATTATGCCTACTAAAAATAAAACAGTTCCTGAATTCATATGAATGTAAAAGCAGCAGTGGTGGAAGAAGCATAATGTACTTATATAAAAGTATGTATTATCAGCAAATTTAGGTAACAAAAGGTAAAAGTACTCACTCTGCAAAATTTTCCGTCAATGTTTTTGTTTTAGTCTTACTGGTGCATTAATGTATCAGTTTCACTTTACTGCTGTAGGTGCTTAAAACTGTGGTAATTTGAATACTGTTGGGTAGATTAATCTACAGCAATGCATACTATTCTATAAGCAGGGCAGTAAGGCATTACTAGTAATAAAATAAAAATAATTACCCCAGTAACTAATTAACGTCATTACTTATTGATTACTGTTGGCAGGGAATAATAAGTAATACTACTTTTGAAAAGAGTAAGATGTTTGAGTAACTAGCCCAACACTGTAATCGTATGTGAGAACGTCAACTTTTTAATGGAAGTATAAAGTTGCATAAAATGGAAATAGTCAAGTACATCAAATTTAAGTGCAATAATTGAGTGACTATACTTAGTTACACTTAAACACAGGAAAGCAGGCAATACTGACTATTCGTTCATATTTTTTCATATTGTCTGTTGTTTTGTGTCCATCTGTAGGTAGCTAAGTTCAAGGTGAAACCCAAGTAACCCTCACTCATTTGTTCAGCTCACAGTTAATTTCTTTTTTTTGTGACATTCCTGAGTCTGAGTCATTTCAGACAAAATAAAAACAGCTGACAAATGTCTTACAGCCAGTAACATCTGAATGAACTTTATTTTGCCTAATAAAAACAAACAGAATGTGGTGATTTTTAGGACAGCAGCCATACATTAGTTAGAATACAGAAGAGGAGCCCATGTATCTTTATGTTGTTCCTCAAGGTCAGATTTCCCTTGATTGTTTAGATCAGACATTAAAGGGAGAAAGAGACCTGTGCCAAGCTGGGGAAATACCTTAAACCCCATTCCCCAGCATACAACAGGAACATACAGCACACAAGACTGAGTAATTCACCCATTCCCCGTTTGAACACAAAACACTGTACCTGTGGTCTAAACATTCAGATAAACTGTTTCTTGCGAGAAAAATGAAGTAGCAGAGTTAAAATACTGAGAGAAAGAGAAAATGTGAAGCTAGATGTCTTTGATGAGAGGCACCAAAGACGACAAATAGGTAATGTAACATTCTCCAACATCAGAATAATATAGACTTGTGAGACAGATGAATGAACACTAAAAACAATTATGATCTCATTTATTATCCTAACTGCTGACACCTTTAAAGTAACACATCTCTTAACACTCTCTTTGGAGCCCTGAGAAAGTCTGCCTTCATGACACGGACCTCAGTCATTTTGCAGATGTATCCCCAACAGTTTCTGATGCTAGATCAGCATGAAGAACCAACAAGGACAGGACCCCCTTATAGTGTAAACATTTTCTCAACGGAATCAGAGGTCAGTCCTATTACCTGTCTCAAAAAAGTAGAGGATCTTTGACAAGATGCACGGCAGTAATTAGAACTACATATCAGAAGCCAGAGCAGCTTAATAATTGGAGGGAACTGAGGGGAAGTAAGGAGTCAATTTTCATGCGTCTGACATTGGTTGTGGACACATGCAACAGGGCACAAATATGGCTTAAGGAAGACTGTAGTCTTCGGTTAGGGCTGTGGAGATTGAAGGAGAAACCTCATATCATAACTATTCAAGTTGCACAACTGATCGAATACTGGCATTTGGATGCTTTTGGAAAGCTAGCTGTGTATTTAAGGAAAACCGTGTACTTGAAACAAAATCTGGCTTCCACCATGGAAATTTTTGCAATCAAAATAAAAGGACAGAACACAATGGCACTGTGTGTTCTGGCTCACTGGTAAAACTAGTTTAACTTGTACAGCTTTATTGATTTCCCAAAAATCATGGATTCCTGCAATTTGCATACGACAGGTTAAGTTTACACACAGTCTTTGGGATCATCACTCCAAAGAATGATAAATTGAGGCTGAAGTGCAGCATGCTGAAGTTGTTACAGGATTTATGTGCTTATGAAGGCAAGCAGGGACTTGTCTTGCATGTGCCCCTATTTGCCACAGACTGTCACTTATCCCACAATGTTTCTACTATACCGCTGCCTTCTGCACCTTCATATGCAAATCAAATGCTTTTCCCTCCCGCTTAAAAGAAATGAATACTCAATGTGACGTGTAGTAGTACAGTCATGTGGCTTCCACCTTTGGCCCTTGTTGTGCTGCTTTGTACCATATGTGAACATCTAAATGGCTAGGGGGAAGAAGCCAGAGCTGGAAGCCAATGTTGTAAAATGCCAGAGCTCCTAGCATCACCACAAATTGAACAAGAACGGAATGATGAGAATAAGTAAACAAAAAAAAACAAAAAATTAGTGGCAAACTTAATACACAATACTACATTCAGTGGATTACTTTGGTGTTTTGACAAAAGTAAAAAAATACTTTAGGTGGAAAGAAATCAGAACAGAAACAGACCAACTGCAGTTGTACAAAAGACAACTTAAAGCTGGACAGAATACCTTCCATATATGTCCATATTACAATCAGCATGTTTACATGCATTTAAGTAACCTGATTATTGCCAACAACTGGCAGTAATCTGATATCATAAACAACATATAAACCCTTTCCTTCCCCCGGTGTAAGTGATTGAGGGATTTCTGCTATTTCTTGACCATGCATTCGCTTAACTGAGTATGCAACAGGGTTTTTACAAGAGCACAGGTTCATGACCAAAACTTGAAATTAGAAAAGTATTGCTATGACAACACTGCAGAAGGTGAAAAGATCACAACTCACAGTAGTGCAACCTTGTAGCCAAAATCCAAAGTCAGACTAAAAAAAAATATATATATAAGTCATCTCCACAGTTGAACAGCAGGTTTTTTTTGTAACATTAACATGCACTCTTGAAAAAAAAGATGGCTACTTCACTAGTCTGTCCTCCTCACTGCATGATCTGTCCAACTGCTCGGATCAGAAAAAATATAAAAACCAAAAAAAAGAAACTGCAGCGCTTCAAATATATTGAAAATACACTTAAATAGTTTTACAGTTTTAATTTTATGGTAGGAGGTAGGGGAGGAAACTGACTACCTGCATGTAAATGCAGATTCTACAGCAACCACATTAATGCAATACATGTAAACGCATTCTAATTTCCTGCAATTACCAGATGTCTCCCAATTACAGTTTTTTGTGTGGATGTAAACATAGCAAATAACCATTCAGCATAATTTCATAAAAAACCCTGTGAGCCACAATCCACGTTAGAGTTCAAACTCGCAAAACACTTAAAAATCCCATTTAATTGCAAACAAACCTACCACCCCGCAAATTTACCTTCTACAACTAGTTTGCCACCCGGAACACAAAATATAGCTCATCTGTAACACCTATCTATTCTGTTCTGAGCACCAACGTCTCTCATGACAAGACTTTGACAACCCACAGCAGAACTACCACCTACATTTGGCTACATCTGATAAGACTTTAAATGGTTTAATTTCCACTATTGCAGGCCAATAAGTCATTATTACACATTTAGCATTGTGATGATGCAACATATATTTTTGAACAAAGCGGTATTGTTGAAATTAAGCTATAAGAAACAATTGTTTTAAGACTATAATGTTAAAAGGTTTTCAGTGTTTTGTTCTTTCAAAGTAATTTTCTATACATTTGTCAGCTCATAAAGGCCTCAAGTGAAGAGAGTTTCATAGCATAGGAGAGAAAATGGCCCCACCCAACTACCCTTGTCGAGGCCTGTTCTGCTTCAGAATGGCTGAGACAGCAGAGTTTCCTGCTACGAAAGGCCGATCTTATTGACACCTGGCTAGATGCAGTAGAAATCCTGCCATGATAGTTGAAATGCAGATTAAATAAAATGTTGCGGTTTACATAAACTCATAGCTGCTAAGGCATGTGTATACAAGTCAACTGTCAATTATAAGTGCGTGTAAATGCATATGTTTTAATTGTCAAAAGCAGAAAGGCATATTCTGGCGACCAATGAAGTGTTTCAGTTCTCTGAACCGTGTATCAAGTACAGAACATACTTGAGGTGTTCAGTCAGCCAGTGGAGATTAAATCATTTAGGGGAAATTTAAGTTGAAGGCAAGGTGCAGCATCTCAAGGGTAAACAAGCCTTTTACATCCAGACCAAGAGATCCATATTTCATCAAGAATAAAAAAAAAAAAAAAAAAAAAAAAAAAAAAGGGGGAGGGACAGGAATGATTTAAAAAAGTAACAGAAAAAGCACATCACCTATACTCTAAAAAGAATGTTATGACTTGCTGGAATATTGTTGTTAGGAATTCTTGGAAAAATATCAGTACCCATTGCAAAGTTAAGCTGTGAAGTGTGGAGAACTTCATTGATTGAAGAGAATGCCAGTCTGCCCTGAGCCCAAGGTACAGTTGAAGAAGCTGACCCAGTTCAGTTTCCGGATTTCAGCTGACCAGCAGAGAAACTGGTGGAAATGTGTGGTGAAGGCCAGTAGCTTTGGTGAGGCTTCAAAGCCATAATGGAGAAGAGGAGTGTGAGGTCTCCATAGTTGTCTTAAGTTGTTGTATTTAAGAAGACGACTTGATGCCAGTTACTTGCTCTTCATTTAATGCTTTCGTCACAGAGACCTGAAAAGTGAAGACCCAAAAAAAAAAAAAATTATATTCATGACCATTTGTCTCAAATCACACTTTTCTGCAGATGAATGGTCCCATTAATCAGCCTGAATTTCAACAGCTAACCTGTTGAGTTGACATGCAAAGTTTACTAGCAAAGACAGATTTGGAGAGAATATATTAAATAATGCAAATAAATAAACTGAGCAGGTACTTCAGTTCTTTCCTTCTAGTTTTACCAGGGTGTAACAATCCATCGATTTAAGGAAAATAAACAATCTATATAGTAATCTTTAAAATATGACACATCGGTGCCACCTATTTTGTACACCTCCTGATATCGAATGCTAACGTTTGTTATCCGTCACCATGTCTGTATATACACGTTTTTTAATTAAAGATGTAATGCTTCCAACAGTTTCGGACTGAACTTCTATACAGAACTTTGTTGCTGCAGGGAGTTTCCTCCCCCAATCTTCAGCTATACTTCACCTAATAGTTTGACGTTTCTAAAGCACATTAAGTTAGAGGTATAAATTACAACTTCTAGTGGTGCTGTGCTGCTGCAGGGACTAAGTGGAAGTTAATCCCAACAACAATACTTAAAATCTAACAGCAGGGAGATACTGTGAGCCAGAAAAAAAATTCCATTTAAAAAACAAAGCATAACTTTATAGTTTGTCTTGTGTAAAAAGGGAGGCAGCGAGAGTGTGAGGGAAGACTGTTTCACATTGACAGCTCCGTTTTAACTCCTCCCTCACTTTTGCTATTCAAACCTATTAGTGACTGCTTCTATTTGTCACTGTCAAGACAACTGTTAGACTCTGCTATCCCAGTCATGTAGCGGCATATGATATTGTCACAAATCGATCCCACCCCTGAATCAAGAATACCAACCAAAGAAACGTTATATTGTGATTAAACTGGCAATTTAAAAACCCTAAGTTGTACCTCGAAACTAGAAGATAAGTGGTAAATCAAGCCAACGGTGGTATATTCCTACATTAGTCCACCTCAGTTCAAAGCACAGAATTATGAATAAAGAAACTCTCGAGCAACCCACAGGATAGGAGGTGCAGGAAGTCAACTGTTTGATTATTGTCAGGTGCAGCTCACAGACACTTAAAGTAAATATTCTAGAAATTTACTGACTACATGGAAAGCAACATATGAAAAGACAATAAATCTAATTAACTATTTTCCAGTTGTTAAAGTTCAGCCACTATAAGTGAGGAGACTTTGTCCACCATTGGGCCACAAAAACTCACCATAAAATTATCTCCATTTTTGTACTTAGTCTCAATTTCTTTTCCCATGTCACCATCTGGCACCTTAAGGTCCTCTCTGGTTCCTCCATTGTCATCCATCAGGGACAAGTAACCATCTGTGAGGCCAATTACCTAAAGAATAAGCAATGTACAAAATGAAAGTCAGGCTAATAGGCAAAAACAGAACTGGCTACAACAGCTCGGCAGAGACCAAAGGCATTACTGTATGTTACTGAGCGGCGTTATCTGCCCATTTACAAAAAAGGACCATCATTATTCTAATGTGCTTTATGTGTCAATTTTCAGGTTTGAATAAAACATTGAAATGACATGTTTAATATCAAGTTTGGGTAAATTAATTATACTGTTAGGTTACTCATTAGATTACTTGAAAAAATCATTACATGTCATCAAGATAAATGCCTTCACAAAAACAATTTCACAAATTTGGATTAGAAACAGGACTAGGTGAACAGGACTATGGTGGGCGTGGCAGACGTAAACCTAGTCTGTGTTTTCTACTGGCCCAAAAGAGGCTTCCAATCAGGGAAGAACAGACTGTTGGCCAAGCCAAAACCTGTTCAACCAGTTCAAAACCTGTATATCCCTTCAAAACTACCGAAGAGACAGCTCAGCTCTGACACGTGTGGCACACCCCCTTTAGTAAAAGCATTCATTTTTTCACATTGCACTCATTAAGATTATGCTATATAAAATCCAAATTATGCAAAATGGGTGCACTGGTGGTCTAAACAAATACCAAAACACCCTATACTGGCCAGGGAAAACAATTTGCTTCCAGTACAAACTTTACACACACTGCAAATGCTGCATACCACTTGGTGCCCCTAGGTTACACCAAGATATCCAACAAGGACTTCTCACCTCATATTCTTTCCTTGTTACATTTGGGACATCCATGTTATGAGTAGACGGGCAGATATCTTCATACTTCTTCTGGGTAAAGATGTCAAGTCCAGTAAGGTGAACCTGGGAAAAGCCCACAACTGGTTAGATCTGGCCTCGGGCCAAGTAAGCAATGGGGATTACTTGTAAAACTGGAAAATGTCAGGCTAAATTACGAACGTGACTTACGGTTTGCATTCCAAAGGATGCACGAGTAGGTTTTTTACCTTTGCATGTCCGTGCTTGCCAGTCTTGGAGGTAGTCATTTCGACGATCTTACAGGGACGTCCTTTCAGCAAGACATGCCCGTTCTTCCTCAATGCAGAGCACTGCATTGGGAATGTTGTGGAGGCCCCAGAGTCCCCAGTTTGGAAATCGAGATCAGCCATGATGGGCTACAGCTGTCACCCAAATGAGCAAAAGAACACAAGAGCATAAGTGACTGACTGAGTTTGTGAATGGCATTAAGAGGCACTATTGCAAAAAAAAAAAGGAATAATTAGGTTATTGGTTTTGTGGTAGTTGGTAAACAGATTTTAAACACACTTAAAAACATACAACTATGACTACAAACTAACAGCTGTGTATCCTAGAGATGCTGCGCCTACGTCGTCACGTTCAATATTTATTCCAAAAAGGAAGTGGACAGTAGCTGGGCCGTAAGTGCTTACAAAATCAATAACCTGAAACCAGAGAGGGAAATGTCAACTCAAACTGCTGTGCTGCACATTTTCCCGACGTCAAAAAAAAAAAAAGGTATACTCCCAAGCTAATCCCGGTACACTTGCAATGCAGTAGCAAAACGTGCTTTAATGTCAACATTATTCTCCACACTTGTGTTGAAACACTCATGCAGGGTGGTGCAACAATATCTGGCTGGCTAACTACCTGAAAAGCTAACAGCCGACGTTAATTGCTACTGTGTCGAATTTACTTGTACGCCATGTTGCGGCAATCTCAAATTCTCTTTTACCAAAAAAATAAATAAATAAAAATACCGGTTTGACTACTTAAACATATTAGCTACCGTTAGCTTCTTACTTCAGTGCTTTGAGGGGGGAAAGTAATTAAAAAAAACCCGGCTGAAGTTAGCGTAAGCTTGGGTTAAGAGAGCTAACAACACACCAATAACTAGCTATGTTACGTGGCAGCTGGGCCAGATGAGCATCTTGTGCACGGTAAGTTAGCTTAAAAACAGTCAGCTAGCTTTTATGTTTTTATTTTTTTAGGGGGGGTTCCCACTTCTTGGCGTGTTTTTGTCATTGTTAGCTAAGTTAGCTTACCACGACCCACACCCACTGACACTGACAAATACTGTTGCTAATGTTAGCTGAAGTAGTATGCTAACTTGTTTCACTCGCTGGCCAAACATCGCCTCACTACTTAGAAGTTACTGATTATCTACCGAGTCGACAAATGGCTTCCCAGTGTTACGCATTAGATAAGGCGCCACTGGACGGTAAACAACCGCTCACTTATCGTTACAGGGTTTGTAAAAAAAGAAAATATTTACTTAAAAGCACCCCCCAAACGTTTCTGCTTACCTTGTGTGTGTTGCTTAAACCAAAGAGGGAAAGCTACTTCGCATGCGTAGAGCTTTTGTACCGCAGGAGGAGCGGAAAGGGCAGGTACGGGCTCCGGTGACGAGGTGCAGCGGGGGTGGGGGGAGGTGCAGCGGGGGTTGGGGGGAGGTGCAGCGGGGTTGGGGGGGCAGCTGGAGAAAATCTTGGGACAGGTTCATTGGCTGGAGCCCGCAGCACCGCGCACACCTGCACACAACTATGCAAGAAAGAACTTAATAGGCTTGTAACACAGTGAGTTAATCAGCTAAATTGTAATACAAACTATGCATATATATAATAGTATAATTTTGATATAGTCGCTATTTTTCGCTATAGTCACTTTACAAATCCAAAGTTTACATACAAAACATGTGATCATCTAATGATGCATTTGTAGATAGAATCAGAATCAGAGTTGTGTTTATTGCCAAGTAGGTTTTTACACCTACGAGGAATGTGTCCTGGTGCAATACAAATATACAAATCACACAGAAAAATAAAGTACTTTCAAAATAAAAATAAATAAAGATAAGAAAGAAAAGAAAAGAAAACTGTGCAGAAGACAGGAGTGCATTAATGTAATGCATACTGTATATACAGGGAGGGTGTAAGAGTCAGTGACAAAGGGGGTACCGGGCCTTGTTAATGCGGCCAGCTGCAGATGGGAAGAAACTGTTTTTGTGGCGTGAGGTTGTGGTCCTGATGGATGAATCAAGAAACAACCCAGTAGAATATAAAATACTAACACTTTAACAAGCTACAACATTAACATGTGCATCAATATATGTATCAATAATAATAACCCAACCCATTTTAAGAGTATTTTTTACAGTAGGTTATAGCTACTTTTATTTAAAAAGATCTGAATACTTCTTCCACTACGGGCTATACAGTACTAATACAACAAACAACTGATGTATTTATAGGGACAAACATATCTTTTCATGATGTCTTTATTATCCATTTCCCCCTCCTTTAAAAAGTGCATAAAATGCCTTAATCTGAAAAGAGACATTTTCATGTGATCACTTTTTTTATACCACCAGGACACAAAACAGCTGTGACAACTGCAGTTAAAAGACTACTATGCTACCATACTGCCTCTTCAATACTTTAAACATTTTTACAAGACAACTATGATTATGCAAATATAAACATTTAAATACTAAGTGTTGGTTTTACTGTTGAAGTTAACAAAGGTAGGCTACTGCATGTTTCCTGTGTTTCCAGGTGGGTGTAACTGTTGAGCAAAAATGAGGCGTTTACTGGGGAGAGCACAGGCAACTTGTAATTAGTCCCATAGCGTTGCTGGGGGCTGTGTAAGAGGTACTGTGTCTTTGGGTAAATAGACCTGTACCAGCGGAGTAAATATTGGTTAAACGTTAAACACCCACTGTCTGCTATATGCACTCCTATTGGTCTAAAAGGTATACGTATAAAAGGTACTAAAGGAATGCAGGTTCCCTAAAACAAAGCATTCTTACTTGGTTGGATAAAATAAAGCCCTACATTGACTGTTTCTCACAAAAAATAAAAATACAGAATCTACATATGCAAATATGTATTGTTTCAAAAGTTTAATAGCTGGAAACAAGAGGCCTCTTACTTCACAGTCAGTGTATGCACACATCACAAGTGAATATCGGGCCATTGATTGGCTTCCAAACTAGCTGTAATGTTAGAAAGGATAACTCCTGCATATATGTCTTAAATTCAGAGAAATCTTCCCCCTCCAGTGTCAAACTTATACATGCATTCACATACATTACTAACCTTTGCAAACCTTTTTACCACAGTGAAGGTCAAACATTCAAGTGAAGTGATGATAAGCAAAACACATTTTTCAGTGGAAGGGGCTTATGATTACATTTTAAGACAGAAAATGAGGAAGACATCCACAGATAAGCAATATCCAGATGTATTACAGTACATCAGACACTAAAATAACCTGGCTGTCTCTTCTCTTTAGGGTTCTTCAAATGCAAATATTGTTTAATTTTCTGTCTCACTAATTCCACAGTTCTAGTAGCTCTAGTTGGTAAGTAGTAAAATAGCAATAACAGATTTCTTGGCCACTTGGGGCAGCAGAAACAAGTTTTGAATACAATAGTGACATGGCAAACTTGATAGTAAACAGTTGCCTATTTACAGATTCAGCAGACACAGGGCAATGTTAGCATTCACAAGGAGTTGTGTTTTTAGCCACCACTTTTCACCATAGTCACTGTCCTTATAGCTGTCCTTATACTTTTCTCCTTAATTCACCAAGTAATTATTATAACACTAATAGGACAAATATACATAAACACTTGGCATTTATAATACTGACAGATGGACACAGCTTTCACACGCATAAGAATACACTACGCAAACACACAGCTGTCGTTTTAAGCATCCGTGGATGTTTTGAGCTGCTGCAGTTCAGCAGCTTTAGGGCTCTGTGCCGACTTTTTTCGTCCCTTGTGAAAGACAGCAGCAATCTCCTCAAAAGTTTTGCCCTTGGTCTCGGGGACCCGGAGATAAGTAAACACAGTGAAGCCGAGAAGGAGCACAGCAAACAGGATGAACACATAACAATCCAGCCAAGTCTGAAAAGGATAAAAATAAAAGACAGGAGTCATTTCTGTGAATGAAGCAAAGATACATCAACCCACATGTAAGTGCATTTGTGGCACAAGTTTACAATACAGTACGTATGTGTACTGCCTTTCTGCATACCTGTATATATTGAAAGGTCATGCCTATGATGAAGTTGCTGGTCCAGTTACAGCAGCCAGCCAGAGCGATGGCGGCAGGCCGAGGTCCCTGGCTGAACAATTCAGCAACTATGAACCATGGAATGGGACCAGGACCAATTTCAAAGAAACTCACAAAGAGGAAGATAGCTGACATGCTGACGTAGCTCATCCACGAGTAATCACTCTGGAGGGAAGAGTACAGTCAAGTAAGTCAAGAAAAATGATTTCCTATTTCTTCAAATTATCAAAATAAAGCTGTAATAAATACATTAACAGAAAATTGACTTTAACATTCTCAAACTAGCCACGCAGAAATCATAGTGAGAGCAACTCAGCATTTGAGTCACCTAACAGAAAGAGTGAACAAACCTGGAATTTGAGCCCCACTGTCATGGCAATTGCACAGCAGCACATCCCTCCCAGACCAACCAGAGTCAGAGTGCGCCTGCCAGCCTTGTCCACCAGTGCAACCTAGAACATACAATACACAGTTTATCTGTACGTGTTTGTGTGTGTTTCATGTGTAGATGAAATAAGAGAACATCAGTGCACGTTCATTGTTTAATGTCCATAATATGTGAGTATATGTCCATGTGTTTTGCATGTGCATATAAATTGTAGCCACTCACCGACACCATAGTGAAGATTGTGTTGATGACCCCGACTCCTATTGTGGCATAGACTGGCTGAGCAACACCAGCCCGAGCGAAGATAGCCGTAGAGTAATAAAAGATCTTGACAACAAAACAAGTATATTTTCGGTAACTGCAAAGTCAGACATAAAGGAATAGTTTTTTTGTGTTTGCTAAGGTACAGAGCAACACAGATCTCCTCTGCTATACATTTTCAGCACATAAACAAAAATCTCCAGCTTTTTCTTAATGAAGAAGTCAAACATTTAGCCATTTTTTGACGCAGGTACTGTAGATATGCATGAACAATGATACCACAATTTCCCTGTCATCATCAAAATCACTGTAATTTTAGTTTAATCTCAGTAAACTGAATGAGAGACAGAAAAAGTTTTAAGTTGAAGTTAATTTGCCACTCACCCCATTGATGCCAGACAACTGTTGGGAGAGGTGCATCATGAGTGCAACGATCAGCTGCTGTCTGTACACAGATGAGCGGATCTTGGGGAGAATACAGAACCGTAAACCGTCACTGCAGTGGTTTCCTAAAGAACATGACTAGTACACATTTTTGTTTAACTTATGTTGAGAGTACTTCCTGTCCTTCTGCTTTGCAGTATGCTAACTAGTGTGTGACAGCTAGAGAAAACATAATTCATGTTTTTTTTTTCTGCTGTTATGCATGAAATAAGTATTTTACATTTTTTGTAACTCTGGTTGCACTGTGGGATGGCTTCATCTGCAGCCTTTTTAAAGTAGCTTGTGTCCAATAATCTTTAAAACATGCTATTATATACTGAGGCCCAATCTGGAAAGCTGAGATCTGGAGCACACACTTACAGTTAGAGCTTTTAATAAGTTGCAGCAATTAATGTTTCGACATAAAGGGTGTCAGAGTTACTCTGATGTTGAAATGTTAGTTGCTGCACTTTATTAAAAGCTCATACTATAATTAAATACTGATCCTGCCTTAGTTGGCCTGTTTGATGAAGTACTGGTTTAAACTTTAAGTTGGCTGATGTGCAGAAATTCCTTCACTTTCACATCACTACTATTCAACTAATGATTTTACATCAACTACATAAGATCATCAGTATCACTTTGGTAGCTGATTAATTTGGATGGTTGAGTGTCTCTGTACACCCAGAGGAGGAGTGTCAGAATTGTTAAAGTATAATGTGAGCACTCTGGTGGCCTTGCAATTTTATCAGCTATTTTATTTTGAAACCCAAAAATCAAAGTCATTTTCTTCAAAATTGTTCATGAAAAAAGTACATTTCTCAAGTCTTGTACAGAGACCTACCAAAGAAAGGATGGAGACCCTGGGCTGCCTGTCCGCTTCCTCTTTCTCTCTCCTCATCTCTTCCAGATCAGGAGTTGGATCATAAGCCCCTTTTAGACGAAGAAGACCTGCAACAAAACACAGAGCAGTTACTGTAGATGAAGAACTGATACCACTTTCATGTTTGTATGGATGAAGCTAAAGCCAGCAGCCAGTTATCTTAGCTTAGCATGAAGACTGTAAACAAGGGGAAAACGCTAGTCTGGCTCTGTCCAAAGCTAACAAATCAGTTTACAGCCTCTCTAAAGCTCACTAATTAATATATCATCTCATCATAACACAATATATCTTGTTTGTTTAGTCTATAGAAAAAAAACAAGGTTTATGTGACAGTTTCTTGGCTGTCAATAAATCTTCTGGCACATAAACAGTGAATTTACGTTTTTACACTTGGTTGAAATTAGTTTTTTAATTTTAAATTTAGAGATTTTTTTGTAGATTTTGTTCCCTTTTGACAGAGCCAGGTTAGCTGCTTCCAGTCTTTATGCTAAGCTAAGCTAACTAGCTGCTGACTGTACCCTTATAGGAGTCAGATATAAAAGTGGTATCAATCTTCTCATGTAACCCTGTGTAGGAAAGCAAAATGCCCAAATAGCTGAACATTTACTTTTAAGCAGAGGTTTCCAAACGTTTTCAGCTCGAGACCCAAATAAAAGGTTGGTGCCTTCCTGGAACCCCAGCTTTTTCACACCCCTGCACTTTCCAGTTATTTCAATGACGGGAAAGGCAACAGAAGTGAAGCAATTTCCAGTAAGGGTACGAAGCGGTTGCCACATTGATTTTGCTCTGCCGCACAAAGTTCACCATACTGAACTTCTGGTGGTAGACTACCCACCTGCAGCAGCTGCTTTAAAAGAACCAGTGTGTATGCTCTAGTGGTGATGTTTTAGATTGCAACTACCTGAAAACCTCTCATGTTTGTATTTGATGACCTGGGAATGAGAATGGGCTTTGAAGTGTGTAGGAGGCACAATGCCAAACACAAAAGGCCCTATCTCTCTTCTGGACTACTATAGAAACATGGTGGTTCAACATGGCAGACTCCATTGAAGGCGACGCACGGCATCTGTAGATAAAAAAAGCTCATTCTAAAGTAACGAAACATGATCCTATATTCAGGTAATTATACACATAATGAAAACGCATTATATTCGATTTCTGGCAATAGATCCTCCTAAATGTTACACACTGGACTTTTAACACCTTTTCAAGTAGTAGTCACCGGATGCTATATGTTAATTCATTTTCCCAATTAAGAGAGTTCTCTCCTCTTCTATTTTTCCAATTAAGCTGGGGATTCAATAAAAATGGGTCCGCATCCACAACCCATTATGGGTCCAAACCCTAAGTCTGTGAAACGCTGCTCAGTATCTTGTGTAGCATATATACTGTATATATAGGGTTTGCAGAAAAAGGATGACATAGAGAGTTGCTGTGTGTAATTCTTACTTTTTCTAGCCTCTTGCTCCTTGCCCTGTAGAATGTAAAGGTACCGTGGGCTCTCAGGACATAGGGGCAGCAGAAAGGATTGTAATACTGCTGGAGCTCCAGACAGCCCAAGCAACAGGGGCCACATATCATCATTACCAAGTATAAAGTCCAAACCTATTACCTGTATCCACACACAAACGCACACACATACAGTTCAAGTAACATGTTCAGTATGCTAACAAGCAAAGATGGTGTTGTGCATGTGTGTGTGAGTGCACGTCACCTGGCTGATTAGGATGCCAATGACAATAGCCAGCTGGTGTAATGTTCCAAGAGCTCCTCTATAAGCCTTGGGTGCAATCTCCCCAATGTACATAGGCACAAGCCCAGATGTCAACCCTGAAACACACACATCATGAGCTAATCAAATTCACACAAACATCCACTGTTGGATATATCACAGTAAAGGAAGTAAATATATTTTTCCTTCTTGTATCCAAGTGCAATTTATATATTATATTAAATAATACGCTTCCAATCATGATGGTAATATTCCTAAATATTTTGAGGATAGCTTGCTTCTTCTATATATTACCCATAAACATTGGCCTTTCCAACTAAATGATGTGACTATTATTCAAAGGTTATAACATTTGCTTTTCTGTACCACAGTAAAAGCCCATAACAGCGCGACCCGAGATGACCATGATGTGAGGTTTCCACATCATGCAAAGACCCATCAGCAGTCCAGCAGCTACAGCCAGAACATTGACCATTAACATGCCCTTTACCCTGTAAGACAGAGAGAGAGAGAGAGGAAGGTGGCAGAGGGAGATATATGAAGTGAGATGATGGATAAAGGCATGTGCCATGGCATTATTCCATATTGATTACTCCTAACATTCTCCATTCGATTTATTATTTTATTATTCCTTTCTCACCTCCCTCTCAGGTCTCCCACAAATCCCACCAGGAAGGATGATAACATGCCACCAATGGAAAAGATTGCCACCGACAATGACCAATACATGATCACGTCAGGGTGTTGTCCCGCCTCTGAGAACTCTTCCTCTTCTGTGCTGTTTTCTGACAGGACATCTGCCTTCTCTGACCACACGCCCAGAGACCGCCCATAGTTCTTTTCAATGACCTATGACACAGGCATGTTTGTGGATCTTTAAGAGGTACAATCCCTGGCTGCACACACAGACAGACCAAAAAGCATACACATTTACACACGCGTATCCATTGAGCTTTTATTCTACTCAATAATAGTAATAATAATAAGTACTCACATCACATTTGAAGTATTCACTTGTTCATAAACAATTTGGTGTTCATCATCTCAATTACACTATCGCTAGTAATCCATCAACAGTACAATTGGTAGTGGGCTGTGTACTTTTGGTTTACCTCCACAGATTTATTTCTAATTTCAGCATACTGATTTGTTTACATCTTGTTTTGAGGAAATTACCTGTCATATCTGCACAGTGCCTCTAGCATGACACTGTTATCTCTGTACCTTTTCCTAGCAAACTGCAGAAACATTAACACAGCAAGAAATGCAAACACATCATTGGAATTTAAGATTATTGTCTTCAACTGAAGGATGAACAGAATGTTTCCATGTAGGGGTTGGAGGGCAATATTAAATCCATTTGATACTTTAAAAAGCACAACAATTGTATATTTAATAAATATGAGGTTAGAAAATACAATAATTGCAGCACAGCCTCTGGTATAAACCCAATCCCCTTCGCTCTTCTATCCAAATACAGAGACAGATAATTTCAGTGGTTGAACCGATATAGATACAGATGGTAATCTCTGTACACCTCTAATGACCATATGGTGGAGTAAGCTTATTCATACTGGCCGCTTTTGTATGCAAATATCAGTATTCTGAGGCAATTAGATGGCCCGGTGAGGGAGAGAAGGTTGTATTAAAGTAGAGCCTACCTTCTGTGGTGCATTGATGACTCCAAGACTGTAGCCATACTGCAGGGACCCCAGAACTGCTGTAAACACGGCCACGGCCAATGTACCTGTTAGCTGCTGCAGGAGTGAAAGGCAATCATTCAGATAAGGACACATACACATGGATGCATGGACAAACACACAACTTAACGTGCACATGCACTTAAGCAAAGAGTATGAATGTGTAAATAGTCAGATGTACTCGCTTAGTACATGGCCACAAATAAAAGTGCACATCCAAATGCAGAAAAAAAAAGAAATTATCTATATTGTCAATGGATTTATGACTGCTTTATGAACTATTACTGACAGTCATACGAATGCTTACATACAGAAGTTACAAAAGCTACTATTATGCATGTGTTTTAAGCAGATTTAAGTTAAAATTTTATTGCAGCAGACACATCAGAATTTAATTTATGACTCATAAGCAAAATGACAATGCAAACGCAAAACACGCTGCTGAATAGAAAAACAGGTTATTTCTTCAGGTGAGAGTGGTAAATGTAACCCTCTGAGTGCCTGAAACTTGATATGTCAGCAATATAGTGACAAACCATCTATTTTCAAATACTGCTTACATGATTTAGAATACATAAACATTTTATTAAATCCAAATATAAAGGAACATGAAAGGAATATAAAGAATGTATTTGTCGAGAATTAGCTTACCTTTCCCGACTCCATGATGGGTCCAGAGTGTCAGCCAGGAGGTAATGATCAATGAAAGCTACATGCCTGATCACGCTGTGTCCACTCACTAATCAAGTAGCACATGCACAAGCACACACATGCACACACACACGCACACACCCCTACAGTACTGACAGAACTCTTACACACTAAAGAACAGTGGTCTTGCCTATCTTTAATACACACATTACTATTGAAGGGAAGGAATAAAATCATAAACAGTGACCAGAGAGCGAGACAGTCTGAAATCTATTGTGGAAAACACTGATTTCAGGATCTTATGGTGTTTAAGACAATGATATACTGTATTTATAACAATTAATAAAGGGATGCAAAATGAATCCCAAATAGCACAGTTTCAAAGTTGTGTTCTTTGATAGTAATAATGACATTTGGACACTATTTTCTCTCCCTCTCTAACACACACACACACACACACACACACACACACACACACACACACACACACACACACACACACACACACACACACACACACACACACACACACACACACACACACACACACACACACACACTTGCTGTTAATGATATACTCGGACGGACAAAGTCTGAGGGTCGAGGATACAAATGTGCACACTTGCAAAAAGACGCTCACAAACACATCCGCAAAAAAAAGAAAAACACTGCTACACAGGCATAATGCTCTAGTTTCATTTATTTCTCTCTTACAGCTTTTCTTTTACAAAACAAAGAAATCCCAAAACAGGACATTAGTAATGCTCTTTCAAAATAAAGAAAACAAGAAATAAACAGAATAAAGAATACAGTGGTTTTGTCTTTGAAAGGAGAGTCCTCATTGTAATGACCATCAGCATTTTCCAATGGGAAGAGTGAATTCCATGTTGGACAAACATAGTAATAATGCCCCATTCACACTTGCTCATTAATCATACACACAGATGCATGTTTGCTCACACAGGGAAGACAGTGGTTTCTTCAGCTCGGCTCTTTATTGCTAAAATGCTAGCCTGCCCCCCCTAACAGAGATCAGTGAACCTAACTAACAGCTGCACAGGAACAGCTACTGTGGGGGGAAAAAGTCCTTGAAAATATAACAGAAAATAATTTAACAGAAACTCAAAAAAACTCATTACGTCATTGGGAAATTAGTCTTTTGTGTGTGACCTTTTCTTTTGTTAAACATAGGCCAACATACTGCCAAACCTGCTGTGCAGCCACCAGAAAAAAGGACTAATGCATTATAGTCTTCCTCCAAGTCCACCCTCAATAGTGTTATAAAATCATGTATTAATGACTGAGCTGTACGAAATATTTAAAAAGAAATGGCACAGTTTTGTCATATCATATTCAGTTACTCCTTTCAAAGAATAAATCAAGTCCTAAATTTGTTAATGTATATCTTCGTTAGAAGAGACAAATTACATCAGCAATGTGTTAAAGTTAGACAGTAACACAAAATAAAATGATTTAAAGTTACCAAACGGGCAATAAAATGATTAATCATAACGTGAGCCATAATCTTTTGGCCTCCTTTTTTGTTTTGCTTACATCATGCTAGGCACTGTACAAACAGGTAGGAGCCAAAATCAGAAGAACCGATCAGGGAGGAGCATTGTCCAAAAGGACACCACAGCTTTCAACAATGAGTGCTTGCACATGCACACAGTATTCAGGATAGTAGCTCATATCCTGTTGAGGTTGTATTCAGGATAAACTGTCCATATGCGTATTTCCCCTACAGCAACATGGCTGTGCTCATGAATAGCCAAAACATTGCTGTGTTAAAGGAATCAGAAACATACTCCAAAAACATTAACCACAAATATTGCCTATTTTTAAATGCTTGGTGTTCAAATACACCAACTCATAAACTCCATACTAAGAAGATAATATCATAAATCTGCATGTAAACACACTCAATGTTGCTTTGATCGCATTAAGGTAAAAGTTTGCGCACACAGACTGAATTACTTGACCTTTTTCTGGACATTGACTTTGATATCCCACTTTGATTCGGACATGATTTGAATGGGACTCATTTCAACATCAAGTCAAACACACACCCACTCATACTTTTAATGCACACACACTCACACACCCACTAACATACACTCCTGATTTTCAGAGACACAGATGTGCTGTACATTTCATCAAGCTTCAAAGACTGACTGACTCAGCCGCAGAAAAAGAAAAGAACAGAAAGAAACAGAATGAACAGAATGACGCTCTCATTGTTCATTTAATATTACAGTATATCTGATGCAGCACCTTCAGAGTTTAAAGACGGAATAGTGGAAACAGGGAGATGATGCTGATGGCAGATGACAGGAGGAGGGAAAGAGGAAAAAAGGAGGGAAGACGACAGAATGGACCAGTCATTTCATTTTAAAGGGACACAGACATAATCATTGCATACTGTTACAACCCGCCTGTGACAGCAGAGTCTCACCGCATCTCTATCAGCGAAATGCGATCGAACATTAAATCACAATTCAGTTTATTCAGAGCCCGGAAAGATGGCGGGAGGAGGAAGAGGAGGAGGGGGAGGGGGAGTGACAGAGGGGAAAGGAAATCAATCAGGCTGTCCGCTTTCACCGCCGACATCCAGAGTAGATTTGTCATCCCTCAGCTGCCCTCCCTACAATGTCATATTCAGAAGTACGTATTAAAATTTATATTAAATCTTATTCATCTATTTCTCCAACCTCTGAGGTGTAGTTCAGCTGAAATGAGCCCACACATGCCAGATAGGAAGGGAGGAAAATGGAAGACATGGGTGTCAAAGGATTGAAAAAGTGACGGCTAGATCTACCAGGAAGGAGGGAGGGAGCAGTGTGCGGACAAATGGAAGAAGAAGAGAGGCAAGAGGTGTACAGAATTTCTACAGTTGTTGTACACTTGAATGCACTGGTCCGTTCGCAGAGAAGAGACAGACAAAAAGGGGAAAGAGTTACAGACAGAGACAGAGAAAGTAGGAATATTTGGAAAGTCAGTGGCACCAGTTTGCCAGTCAGTTTGAGTTACGATGGCTTCTGCATGACCCAGCATAATCTAGGGTAACATGTTTCTTCATTTAGAACTGGTCTTTGTTGTTTTTCTCTACGATAAGTTTTTGTTTTTTGTCTACACCGTTTTAGTCTCTCAGGTGTTAAAAGAGTTCTCTTGCAGCCTCTCGGTCAATTGGGTTCATTTGTGAGATCTGCCGGGGACCCAGGTGGGTCGCCGGGCTGGACAGTGGGACAGTGAGGCAGAGTGGACAGTGGGAGGCGCCATCACCAGTTCATCATAGAGTTTCTGTTGAGGGTCATGAAGAAAACTTGGCTGCTACCTCCCGAACGCACCGATGCGAAGAATACCTAAAGGATCGAGAATATTCCGAACATAAACGTTTTAATTTCTCATTTCTAAATGTAATCAGCTCTCATTAACTACAGATCACAAATAACGATTTATTTTTTTATGATTTATTAATTTGCTTTTAGGTTCTGTTAGCCTGTGTAAGATCTATGCAAATCAAACGTCATGCTCACAATCCATGTTATAGCAGCTTCTATATATAAATGTGTGTTTTTAAAGCTATACATACAAATGACTGAGAATCAAAGCGCACGCAATCAAACTGTGGTTTATTTACCTTGTCGTTCCGCTCACAGAGGAACTTGAGTCTCTGGGCTCTCTTGTGCATAAAGACTCCATCCAGATGACCTGTCTCCACAGAGCGGATCTCTATGGCTTTCTCACCCCAGCCCATAATCTGATTAGAATGGATATAGGCTGGGAAAGAGAAAACACAAGAGAACAATAAGTGATGATGGAAAACGAATATGAATAAACATGTCATCAGAATGCCTTATGTAGAATCCAGATTCAGTGGGACTAGCCCAAAAAGTGGTTGATTTAAAGTGTAATGCCACTGGCTACCACACAGGGGCAGTAAAATACAAGAAATTAAGTGGTATTTTCTATTGAAACAGTGTTCATGCATACATGTATACATTTCTTGGTTGCCCCCTCTCTCTTCCTCTCTCTGTGTCTTACTCCTTTGAATTCCCTATTGATCATCTATATCCATTTTTCATCTTTCTCAAACTTTTACCCTCACTCACTTCTTTCTTGTTTTTGCTAATCAGCACTAGAAGCTGTGAAGGCTGATGTTACAAACTGATGTTTGAATGCAATTAAACTTTAAAAGAACCCCCATAAGTTCAGTTCTCAGCTAATTCACAAGACTTTTGATCTGCATTGCGACACACACATGCACAGGCGCTGAAATGGGTACTAGCATATATCACTGTAGTTATTTAAACCTCTTAACTGGTGATTTTTAATTTACATCTTTGAACTGGGGTTTTCTCTGTGATGTTTTAATGACTGCAGTGTTTATAAAAATGTATTTAAATCAACAAAACACACATAAATACACATGTGGGTAGGACATACCAACAGAGGTAGGCATCTCTCCCCACTGTAGCACCACGTCCTTGGTGATTCTACCATAGGTGTTCACGTAGACGCCCTCGTCTTCGTAACACAGCAGCATCTCCATTCCATCAGTTTTAGGGAGCACCACAATAGCATGGGGAGTCACCTGGCTCTGGATCTATTACAGATACACACACACAGAATAACATTTTAGAGGCTTTAATTAAATCTGTCAAATGTAATCGTAATCTACATTAGATTAAACTATTACAGAGGTTTCATCGTGGGCATTTAATGCAACAGAATTTGGCTCGCTCTTTGACATTTTTTTGGACTGGCCTGCATTCTGTAATCCTCTGAAGAGCAAGTTTGTGGACATTGACAAGGCTGCCAAATATCAGGAGCATCAGTGCATCAAAAGGTACAGACTTTGGCTTGTTGTCGGAGGAGCCTTGTTCTGTATAATAAGTGAGTTGTCAAACTATAGCACTTTTCCCTGACCTTAATGAACAGAAACAACACCAGAAGAGTTGGGAACAGTAACACACTCAGACATAGCTTCAATCTGTGCACTTTACCCAAAGTGTAGCCTAGAGACCAACCCCATTATTTGTGCCAGCAGGCTCTCCTGAGGTGTGACTCGATACTACTCTTCAGGAGCACAAAAAGGCATCATATCAGTGAAACAAGTGAGTGATAAGGTAATGAAAAAAGTCATCTTTA